GGTCCTGTTCCACTGGGCAGGACAGGAACTAACAGAAGCAGCTAGGTTCCTTGCTCAGAAATCCCCACACCTGCCCCTCCAGCGAGCTCTGTGCCCGGGGAGCTCTGTCTCCGCTTCCTCCCAGGGTCCCACTCACAGCTCCTTCAGAAGTGAGGGCAGGCGGGGGTGTGGAGCAGGGCTCTGGCGGAGGAAGTGGGGGGGAAACAGCAGCGGGAAGCTGAGATGGGGCTGCAGAATCCCAGCCCTGGGTGGTCATGGCAACCTGGGATCCCCCCCACACTCCCCTCAGCCTGAGCGAGCGACATTTGTGATTCGTTCCCTGAGATGGAGGCACCAATGCAGGAAACCCAGGGCCAAGCCCCACCCTTGTGGACCCCAGCGGGGATGCAGCCAATACCCCCAGAGCCTGCGCTCAGGGCTCTGTGTGCACCAGGGCCCCATTCTGAATGGGGGGAAGCCAATTAACCCTTTAGTGCCAGGGATTCTCACCCCAGTGTGTTCCCAGTCTGGCCTTCAGGGAACAGTCTCGGCTGGGCTGCTATTGACCACTAGTGTGGACTGGTCAGAGTTTCAGGAGTCTATTCCTATAAAGGGAGTTGAATCCCCCATTGAAATGCAATGTTTAGGTACAATACCAAAATGCAATTTAGGATACTGCCCAGCCCTGATCTTACCCATTAGGCTCCTCTCGGGTGTGGGACTGGGGACCACCGGTGTAACTGAGCAGACCCCCAGTGTCAGCCTCGGGGATGTCACTGCAGATGTGGCACGCTTCGACAAGCAGCACCTCGGTTTGGTCCATTATTGTTGTTGCTGTAGTTGGGATTGGGGCAGGAATCCCATTATGTGTGTGGGGGGGGGAGGAGGGGGCTCTCCATGGCCCATCTGGGCTCTAGACAAGGGGGGGGCTCTTGCCTCCTTGGGGCAGGAAAGAACAGGATTTGGGGAGGAGGGGATGTCACCTCAGATCCCTGCACCCCATAATAATCTCTAGCTTTTCACTTCATGTTGCAAAGGTGGCCTGGTCTCATGAAGTCCCCACCCTTCACCAGAACATCTCGAAATCCTGGCTCATGCTGGACCCTCACGGACGAGGAGACCCAGGACTGTTGGACGCAATTTGGTGGCCATGATGACCGGGGTGAGGCTCACAGGTGGCCAGTTCATGAGCAGGAGGGATCTGGAAAGGGGGGAATGGTTCTGATAACCCTGTCCTGGCCACACCCTGGCTCTTAACCCCAACCCCTCAACACTGAGCGGGATGACTTTGGATCAAGCCTGACTATAATTAAAGGGGCAGAGATCTGTGTGTAGCAGCTTTAGCTAAAAGAGTTTTTCTCCCCGCTGTGTCTCAGGCATTTGAGTTAAATGGGCATCCACAAAAATGAAAAGGATGATGCTAAAGGGCCAAACTCTGCTCCCAGTTACACCCGTGTAAATCTAGTGTGAAGGCAACAGTGTGACTCAGGATTTACACGGGTGTAACTGGGAGCAGATATTGGATCAAATAGGTTCAAAAATGTTGTCGGCAAATAATCATGTCCCCTGCCAGGTAGTGAGGTTTCTCTTGCACCGGGTGTGATGCTGTCAGTCCTGCCAGCTCCTCAGTCACCCCCAGGCTTCCAGGGATGGCAGGGTAGGTGAGACCCCCATTTCTGATCTGTTTTTGAAAAGAGGAAAAACCAAACTGCTTTTTGAGCTTTCCCCCAGCACCACAAAGGAGCAAAAAGGGAAGGAACCCGACTGCTACCCCCAGAGAATGAGCAACACACGGAGCAGCAGGTTCCTCATTAGCCAGCAAAGGAGCTGACTTGTTTCACCGCTGGGAGTGGACAGTCCCCAGCCCATGTTCCTGGGTCCTCCTCGTCCTGCTGAGGTTCTCCAGGTGGGTTGGGCATCTGCTCTGGATCCCCTCGGATATCTCACTCATGCAGGCGTCTTCCTCTCTGGGGCCAAGGGTAGCGGGCTGGGTGGGTGCCCCGTGTGCTCTGCTGTTAGCGCCACTGGGCTTCCTGCCCCATAAGGGGGTGTCTTATACACGCAGTGACTCAGGTGCTCCCGTGGTGCAGCCTGCGTGGGCAATGCCCCATCACCCTGCCTCCTGCGCTGGGCAGTGGTGACCCAGAATGAGTCACAGTGTCAAAGAGGGAAGAGCCCTGCTAGATCCATCTGGTCCATTGTCCCAGAGCAGGACTGTTCTCCCCAGGCTAGTTTTAAATATAGCATAACCGGGTCGGTTGTCGGGATCAGGGATTGAACCCTGGACCTCTGGGATGAGCTGCTACCACCTGAGCTAAAAGAGCCACCACAGTAGCAGGTTCATAACCATCTCTCTGGGGTCCCACCACTGCAGGGAGACAGGGTCTGGCCATAGGGGTTAGGTAAATGTCCCTAGCCATGCAGCTCCCAGTCTGCCCCGAGGGAAGTGACTCCCAGTTGGCAGCATCACAGAGTATTTCCTGGTGTGCGAATAGGGGGTGAACAGTGAGGTGGCAACATTTGAAGACAATACAAAACTACTCAAGATAGTTAAGGCCAAAGCTGACTGCAAAGAGATACAAAAGGGTCTCAGGAAACTGGGTGACTGGGCAACAAGATGGCAGATGACATTCAGTGGTGACAAGTGCAGAGTAATGCACATTGGCAAACATAATCCCAGCTACACACACCAACTGGTGGGGTCTAAGCTAGATGTTACTACACAAGAAAGGGATCTTGGAGTCATGGTGGAGAATTCTCCGAAAACATCCGCTCAATGTGCAGCGGCTGTCGAAAAAGCCAATAAAGTGTTAGAAACCACAAGGAAAGAGCTAGATAATGAAACAGAAAATATCATTATGCCTCTCTATAGAGCCAGGGTATGGCCGCACCTTGAATACGGCATGCAATTCTGGGTGCCCAATCTCTAAAAGGATATATTAGAATTGGAAAAGATGCAGAGAAGGGCAATGAAAATGATTAGGGAGCTGAAACAGCTTCCATATGATGACAGATTACAAAGATTTGGACTGTTCAGCTTAGAAAAGAGACAGGGGGGCTATGATAGAGGGCTGTGACATCATGGGAAAGTGACTAGGGAAGTGTTATTTACCCCTTCACACACTGCAACAACCAGGGGTGATCCAAGGAAATTATTAAGCAGCAGGTTTAAAACTCACAAAGGGAATTGTGAAGCCCCAAAGCATAACAGGGTTCAAAAAAGAATGAGAGAAGTTCCTGGAGGATAGATCCAGCAATGGCTATTAGCCAAGATGCTCAGGGACACAATCCCATGCTCCGGGTGTCCCTAAACCTCCACCTGCCAGAAGCATCGGACACTGACCACTGTCAGAGACATGACACTGGGCCATTGGTCTGACCCAATGTGGCTGTTGGCCTGTTCCTCCTAATCCTCCCCCTAT